CAGATATAATGGTTATGTTGCTGGACTCCCATGTAGTCCACTATGGTTCGAGTCTTGGACATGGCAGCTTAAAATTCAAGCTGGGCACATGTGTGTATATGCCCAAGATCTCAAGAGGAGAACAGAGGAGAGGGGATTGCATCATGGCCATCCTCCCCCGGGGGTTGATTTCTCCCTTTCTGTCCCTCTGTCTCGCTCTCTGTCTCTCTGATGAGCACACGTACCCTATAGCAAAAATCTCCCCCCCCCCAAAAAAAAAAAAAAAGTAAAACCTAAGTGAAAACTGTTAGGAATGAAACTTTTACAAAGTGAGATAGTAAGGGCAAACAATTCATTTTAGATGAAGAGTCTCCCTCATTTTAAGGAAAAGAAATTGTGTTAAAACCTTTCTACAAGCTTAACAGATGCCAGTGTTTGTCTGATGCCCTAAATCAACACATTTGCAACTTCTTTTTCAGAGTTATCCAGACAAGTGACTCTAAACAGGGCACATCTCAGTTACTCATAGAATAGTGTGAGTCAGTATTTGGGGGATGTTTGGTATCAAGAATGAGCCAAAATAGACACTTAAAGGAATGGAAACATATCAGAAATGGAAACTGAACTAGTATTTCCTAGAAAAGACTTTGTCACTGTCACTGTGGTTATTCACTTAACTGAGCTTTTGATTTGCAAGTGTGTTTGTCTACTAATAGCTACACAGTCTCGTACCCATTGACTTAAAACTATCTTCCTAACAAATACAGGGGGCATTTGGGTTTGTTTATTAGGCTCTTGCTTCACAGGCATTTGCCACTGTCTTGGGTTTGTTCTTCAGAGATCTCAAAAGCAAGATTTTTTTTGTCCTGCTAGCTACACAGGCAACCACTGACAACAGCCATGTCTCTGTAAGTGAAACTCCCAATAGTAAAAGAAGGGGGGAGGGGAAGAAAATATAAAGGTCTCTACAGCTAGTTAGATCCTATTTTGAGGGTCACTGACTTACTACGAAAAACGTATATATAATTTTCCAACTACTTTTTTTTTTTTTGGAGAAGTTTCTGCATGTGCTTGCCAGAAAGAGAGAGACAGAGAGACAGAAAGCAAGAAATCATCCCCCAGGGAGTATGGTGAAGCCGCAATCCCTTCTCCTCTCAGGATCTAGGGCATGCACACACTTGCCCGGTATAAGTTTAAGCCACCAGGTCAGGGACTCAAACCACGGTCAACTACATTGGAGTCCATCAACGTAGCCATTATGCCATCTGCTGGTCCCTCCAACTACTTTTTAACTCTGTTGAAAGTTTTAAAGGTTGAACAGCTATAACTTTGGTAGGCCAGAAAATAAGATCTCTCCCAAACAAATCAATTCAACTCAGTTAAGTACTTTTTGGTCACCTGCCCTGTGCCATTTCCAGTGCCAGGTGCTGGAGGTAAGGAGTAAGCAAGACAGATGGGATCCTTGCATTCCTTGAGTTTGCGTAGGAAGGATGCAGGATACAGAATGGGAGAGCTGTTGTTATCAGTAACTATAAGCAAATCTTCACTTGATAGTTTTTTTTTTCTTTTGAGAGGTTTTCGCTATAGGGCGCGTGCGCTCGCCAGACAGACAGAGAGAGACATAGAGACAGAAAGCGAGAAATCAACCCCCAGGGGGGGTGGCCACACCGCAATCCCTTCTCCTCTGTTCTCCTCTCGGGATCTTGGGCACGCATGCACACGCGCCCGGCGTGAGTTTTAAGCCACCAGGTCCGGGACTCGAACCGCGGTTGACTACGTAGGAGTCCAGTGACATAGTCATTACGCTAACTGCTGGCCCCCTTCACTTGATAGTTAACCCTGAATTGAATGATATGCTAATGGACTTAAAGCATGGTGATTTATCCTTTAATAGTTCTTTAAGAATGGTCATCTTATGATTTATCTGCATTTGGGAAAAGGAAGAGAATTTAAAAAGCTATCATGGGGCCAGTCAGCGGCATAGTGGTTAAGGCAGCTGGATCCCATATGGTTGATTGAGCAATTGGAGTCCTGGACCAAGAGGCTTGAAAAACACACTAGGTACATGTGCATTTGTGCCCCAAATCCTGACCAAATGGAGGAGAAGGGATTACGGTGTGGCCAACCTCCCTGAGGGAGAGGATGATTTCTCACTTTGTTTCTCTCTCTCTCTTACTCTCTCTGTTTCTCTGGCGAGTACATGTGCCTTAAAGTAAACTAACTACATAAGGCTATCTTCATCGTCTCTATGTAACTATAGTTTCGTAATTTGTTGTGCTTGCTTAAGAACCAGATTCAAATCCTTTCCCTGATTCCTCTCATCTGCTCCCCCAAAGAGAATGCCTCAGACCACCTGGAATACTACCTTGTATCTGACTTAGCAATTTTGTAAGATGCTGCAGTTAGAAGTTAATAGAGCAAATAGGTTCAAAATCTACTGGTGTGCTCAATTAAAATATTAAAACAGGGTTTGTTAACTGTCTTGTTTAATTACTTCTAAACAGTTTGTTTAGTTGTTCCCAAATTTTAAAATAATTTTTAAAATAAAAATTATTTTTATTTGGAGATGACAAACATAATTTTTAGCAACGGAAACACACAATACCGGCAACATTTTGAAATCCTTATTTTCAAATATTTTCTTTATAATACTTTTTCACTCAATGTTGAAATTACCTCAAAGGGACAAAAAAGAAAACCCTGTTCTTTTTAAATCTATTAAGTAACATACTACTGACAACCATATACCATTATAAAACAAAAAGATTAGCACATTTCAAATATTTTGGTTTTTGAAAAACGCATTTAAATAACTCGATTTCAATTAAGACAACTCTTTTTTTCCTTTGCTACAAATGGCTTTCACAGTCATGTAGCCTCTCATTTTAAAGTAATGTTAAGATTTTATCATTCCTAATATTTTTATCAAATTATTCACATACATAGATCATTAAAGCATCTAAACACTATGTCATAACCCATAGAAGCAATCTACTGTAAGGTGTAGAGTCTGAGATACACTGTTTCTGATGTTTAATGTCCCCTAGATTGTCAGAGGTCAGAACACATTGGCAGGTGTTATGGTGACAGTTGTCTGTCTCTGCGCATGCTTGTGGGGGGACAAACCTGGACTGCACTCAGTGGACTGGAGAAACACCCCAAAGACCACCATGGGGGGAGGGGGGGCTGAGGGGGAGTGTGTGGGTGTGGGAGAGCTTTTTAAAGAAATGTTGCTATCAGGAGGTGGTGTAGTGGTTGGGCCGCTGGACTCCCACATTGGCGATCGCGGTTCAAATCCCAGTTCTGACGGCTTACTTTCCCACTTTCCCTCTCTTTCTGTTTCTTTTAGGTCAAATTAAAAAACAATCATCATCTTAAATAAAATTAAATAATTCTAAAAAGAGAAATTCTGCTTTATTAACGCTGTTATATCACTGAGGGTGATACTGAGTAAAACAAAAGAGTGATCGGAGAATCGGACTCTGAATGTGAACATATCTAAACAGTATCTTAACCAGTTTGTTTTGTTTATGTTTTCTGTTTTCCTTTTTGAAAGCATGAGAATGATAGATAGTAAACATGTATGTCTCAATGAATCTAAAAAGGACATTTCAATAAATAACATATTAATGAATAATTGTGATGAAAAAGATTCTAATTGATGAAAAAGTGTCAGAGGTCCTAATGGCAGTTCTTTTTAATTCTCACTGGTACTTGAGTAATGCTATTACCTTAAAACTGGTGAATTTTCAGATTCAATGAGATATTATCAAAAGTGAAGGCACCAGGGAACCAGCAGTTAGCGTAATGGCTATGTTGCTGGACTCCCACATAGTCGACCGTGGTTCACGTCCCGGACCTGGTGGCTTCAAACTCACGCTGGGCGCGTGTGCGTGCGTGCCCAAGATCCCGAGAGGAGAATGGAGGAGAAGGGATTGCGGCGTGACCACCCCCCCTGGGGGGTGATTTCTCGCTTTCTGTCTCTATGTCTCTCTCTGTCTGTCTGGCGAGCCCACCCGACCTATAGCGAAAACAACTCCAAAAAAAAAAAAAATAGTGAAGGCACCACTGTCAACACCTTTGCATTGCGGGCAGTCCCTTCCCCTCCCCTTCAGGAGCCCCATTTGGAGCACGAACCCATTTAGGGCTGCTGTCAAGGCCTTCTATTAAAGATTAATTTCTTTCTTCTTCTTCTTATTTTTCTTTATCTAGCAAATACACATGGAAGTTCTAATATGCTCTTCCCACACCCCAGTGAGAGACTTGCACACAACCTGCATTGGAGACCAGGCGCTAGGGCCTGTAAGAGCTGGGTGGTCCGAAGGGCCCGGAAAGGAAAGTTCTCTGGCCCACTTCTGATGTCCCCTCACACGTACGATTATGTATTAATTATAAATAAGTTTTTCAAAATAAAATAGACTCAAGTTGCCCTGTTCTTTAGCCAGCCCATGGGAAAGAGGCCACGAAGTGCCGAGAGCGTGACAGTGCCCTGCTGCCACGTCGTGGTGCGTAACTCACCCCACCTTCTGCGCCGATGCGCTGTCTCGTAAGAGCGGCTTTTCGTGGGGGGGGAAACTGAGGTGTGGAGGGAGAGGCGCCGCTCGCGGCGACAGGCACAGCCCTCCCGGGGCAGAACCCCCAGCAGGCCGCCC